TCTAGGTCCTTTCTAAATTCAGAAATGCTTACTACTGTTATTATTTCTGTTTGTGTTTCACGTGTTCTGTAACATGACCTTTCCACAGTCCTCCGCTGTCTTGGCATTCCGACGAGATGTATCACAAATTACTCATCTGCCCATGACACTGATGCAAACATTTCTGTGGATTACCTTTTCAATGCTCAACTTGAAAGTGTGTCTGAAGGCAGGAAGGACTCCATCTGGTGAGTTTTTTATTTAGCTCTAAACCTTTTCTATATGACACCAGTTGTTTCATTTCACTTGAAGAGCAACTCTGATCAACTTGAAAGTGTGTCTGAAGGCAGGAAGGACTCCATCTGGTGAGTTTTTTTATTTAGCTCTAAACCTTTTCTATATGACACCAGTTGTTTCATTTCACTTGAAGAGCAACTCTGAGCAATAACATTTTCCTCTGTTGTCCCTGACCTGTGAGTCTCACCCTCTATTTTCAGGAACTACCACTGTTGGGTTGAATCCTGGATGAAACGCGATGACCTCCCAGAAGGTTACGATGGATGGCAGGTGCTAGATCCAACTCCTCAAGAAAGGAGTGATGGTAAAGCTTTACTCTTTCAAGTATAAAAAAACAAGAATATCCAGAGAACTACTTCCTCTTATCTCCTATTACATAAAAGCTAGCTTGTACATACCTACATCCTCTTCTCCCATGTTCTTACAGGAATCTTCTGCTGTGGGCCTTGTCCAGTCCATGCGGTCAAGGAGGGAGAGGTGGGGTTCAAGTACGACACCCCATTTGTGTTTTCTGAGGTGAATGCTGATCTGATCGTCTGGATTGTTCATCCAGACAGGGAACGAATTCAGGTGTCCCAAAACAGTAAAGTTATAGGGCGGAACATAAGCACTAAGAGTGTGTATGGAGACTTCAGAGAGGACATTACTGCTAACTACAAATATCCTGAAGGTAAAAACAAGCGACCTGTCGAATGTACTCATTTGTTTTCAATTTATTATAATGAACTCATTTTGACCTTTGACATTCTGTTGTAATATTAAGTTCATTGTCTCCTATTGTACCTGAAACCTTGTACACGTTACTTCTACTTGTTACGTTTGTTTGAGTAAGTGAGCATATTTAATGATTAAAAATTGAAGTGTAGGTGAAATATTGAAAAATGTAACATTTATTATTACATATATATTTTTTATTGATATTATACATTTTTATTATAATAATTGTTTAGAAAATAAGTGGTCTTTGTGACGCTAGCCTAAAAAGGAAAGATATTCCATCGGTGTATTGTTTAGAGTAAGGCATGTTCACAGTAAATCATGTTAAGAAATATAGTATGATATATTTTGATTCGTGTTTTTGATTTCAATTTATATTTGTCCATGTCAACTGATTCTGAAATTGTGACATTTTGATATTAATCACATTCAAATGCTTTGTCCCACCACAGGATCAATGAAGGAGCGAGAGGTTTATAAAAAGGCAGGAAGACAAGTGGGCCAAAAGAACAAAGGCCCAGGGCAGCTTGAGCTTTTCATCAAGCATGCCCCAGCTATCCATGGGACAGACTTTGACGTGATCATAGAGGTGTATAATGCTGGTAGGGAGGACACAGATGCACAGCTCATAGTCACATCGAACGCAATAACCTACAATAGTATCCACCGCGCAGAGTGCCAGAGAAAGACAACCTCTCTCACAGTGCCAGCTCACAAAGGTAAGACTAGGAAACTTGGATAGTATCCTGAATTATTTTGCGCACAGTGGCATCTGCAAACAAATGTAACCTCTCCTTTAAGGACAATAAATTAAAAAATATCTTTGCATCACTTTATAGCTCATAAAGAAGTATTGCGACTTCAGTATGGCCATTATGGGGCATGTGTGTCTGAACATCACATGATAAGGGTCACAGCCCTCCTCCAACCCACTGATCAAGACAACATCATCCTACAAGAAATCAACATCCCCTTGAAAATGCCAGCGCTTCATATCAAGGTGATGAACTGTTCCATTAATACTAGCACTGTGTCAATGGCTTTAGCCCTTTTACCAATGACCGATATTTGTTCTAAATTTCAGATTATTGGGAAAGCGATTGTATCACATAAACTGACAGCACACATCTCCTTCAACAACCCCTTACCTGTTAGTCTTCAAGGAGGCGTGTTTACCGTGGAGGGAGCAGGACTGACAGAGGCCAAAGAAATAAAAACACAGTATGTACTAGTTTTAGAAATCATGCAGAGTATGTACTCGACATGAAATGAATTGTTCACCCCAAAATAAGCATTTCAAAATTAATTCACTCTCAGGCCATACAAAATGTAGATGGGTTTGTTTTTTCATTGGAACAGATTTGAGAAATATAGAACTGCATCACTTGTTCACCAATGGATCCTCTGCAGTGAATGGGTGCCGTCAGAATGAGAGTCCAAACAGCTGATGAAAACATTACAGTAATCCACAAATAATCAACACAACTGCAATTCATCAGCTGACATCTTGTGAAGTGAAGTTGTGCTTGTTTATAAGAAACAAATTCATCATAAAGGCGTTTTAACTTTAAACCAACAATTCTTGCCAAAATACCAGCCCATAATCCATAATAACACTTCCTCCAGTGAAAAAGTCCATGCCCTTATTGTCTTCTCACTTCAAAATCCACCGCAAACATATTTAACTGTTTTAGACTGATTTGCTACAGTTTGAAGTTAAAAATGTCTTAAAGGAACACGCCACTATTTTTGAAAATAGGCTCATTTTCCAACAGTTGAGTTTTACCGTTTTCGAATCCATTCAGTCGATCTCCGGGTCTGGCAGTAGCACTTTTAGCTGCAGCTTAGCATAGATCATTGAATCTGATTAGACCGTTAGCATCAAATATTGAAACTCTTTGGTCATTTTTGCTAACGGTCTAATCAGATTCAATGATCTATGCTAAGCTGCAGCTAAAAGTGCTACTGCCAGACCCGGAGATCGACTGAATGGATTCGAAAACGGTAAAACTCAATCTCTTTAACTCTTTTTCAAAAATAGTGGCGTGTTCCTTTAAAAGCTTTTCACTTCACAAGACATTAATTGATGGACTGGAGTCATGTCAATTACTTGTGGATTATTGTGATGTTTTTATCAACTTGAACTCATTCTGACGGCACCCATTCACTGAGGATCCACTGGTGAGCAAGTGATGCAAATTTCTCAAAATCTATTCCAATGAAGAAACAAACTCATCTACATCTTGGATGGCCTGAGGGTGCAGTACATTTTCAGCAAATTTTCATTTATGCATGAACTCAGTATCTAGTATACATTTCTCGAAGTGCATCGGACATGATCTAAGGCATCCAAGTTTTGGTTGACTGTTAATGTCTATATGTCTCTTTTTCTTTAGTGGTAAGATTGAACCTGGTCAGGCTGTGACCGTTAAATTCTCCTTCAAGCCCACCCGTGCTGGCCTGAGGAAACTGCTTGTCGACTTTGACTCAGACAGACTGAGAGATGTAAAAGGAGAAGCCACTATCATTGTTCGGACAAAAATGTGAAATAGGAACGCTGTCCCAGAAATCTAGACAAGCATGTACAATTCAGAGAACCATACATCATTAAGTGTGTTGTAAATTATACAGTTAATGCTATATACTTGACTTGATCACAGCTGTTTTGCTTGTTACTTATTTTGTTTGCAATTTGTTTGTGTAACATTTCCTTAAAGATTACTTTGATATGATATCTTTGCATGCTTTCATGCAGACCTTGAATAAAAGAACCTCAAAAGCTGCTTTTCTACATGTAAAATGCCCAATACACCTTAGCTTTTAATATATAAACGGTGTTATCTAATGACAATTTTGAAATCAGTGTTTGTTGATACGTTCAGTATAATGCTGTTGTTGTGTTTGGTATAAATGTTTTGTAATAATAACTGAAAATACACATGTAAATATGACAGCAGAATATATTTTCTATATTTGTCCATCTTGTTGTTTATCACTCCATTTCCTATAAACAGAAATATCACAGTAGAAATAAAATGTCAGTGAAAAGTTATTTCAGGTTTAGCTAGATAGTATAATGCTTGCACACTTGACCTTGCATTTGTACCTTTTGACAAATGGAAATGGAGACTTTAGAAGTAAAGGCAAAGTCCCTTTAAGGGTATTGATAGTCTTTGGTAAAGATAACTTATTAGATAACAGGGATAGCTAAAGAGTAACCTTAACCAGCGAGCAGGTGACATTTATTACAGGTACATTTCTGAGTAAATAGTAGTGCCATTATTGTCATGTGAATGATCAACTCGCTCATATGGCTTAAAACTCATATCTATTTTCTACTTATGCTGATCCTTTATAGAAATAGAATGTGGGGTTTGTGCATAAACTAGATTTTGTTCGCCACCTGCTGTAAGGAGAAGCTTACTGTTACTTTTATAGCCAAATACACAAAATTGAAAGTACTCTGTTTTAACTTATTGTTTTATTTTTATTGCATTGTTTTATTTTAAATGTTTGTCTTGTTTTTGTATTGTGCAAAATCTTCTACCCATCCATCACACTGCATCATCATAATATTCTGCCGCTAAAATCCATTTGGACTGTTACTATTACAACTATTAATAATAATAATAATAATAATGATGATGATGAAGGAAGTTACACTTTTAGGGTAACTGGCACAATGATTTTCTTAAACATATAAAAGATGGCATTATTTACAGCAATGGTGTTGCTGGAAGAAGATTATATGCTTATAAACCAGGAAAGAGAAAAAAATCAAAAGAGACTGTAAATCACGTTTTTAAGACAAAATAAAGATAATAAAAAATAATTATATCACTGCACTGTTACTTTATCATTGCATCATCCAGTTCCGTCCTTTACGCCTTTGACATATCCAGGCTCGTCTTTGTTTTGATCGAAAGTATCCTGAACCAATAGAAACTACGTACACTGAAACATCAATATTCCTGAACCAATCATCTATGCTGTGGGCGGTACTTCTACTCTCCTTTTGGTTTCAACCGGCGTGGGAAGTAGTGTGACTGGCTTCTGAAGCGGTTAAAAGATTATCATTCGTAAATTTCATTAGATTTGCATTTACTTCCACACGTTATTTGTTATTATTTTACATTATGTCTTTGTGATCTATATCACGAGACCATATGCATCCAATTAAATGGTGTTTCAGTGAATGACTGGATGTCAGTTTAGCCTTGTTTCTTACTTAGGGAAAGCATGCTATTGTAATATAAATCTGAAAGACTGAATTATCCAGCACTCTTTGTAAATTACCTTGACATAATAACCGGGTTACTTAATACTGAATAATCCACATGTTGATGTGCAATATAAAAAGGTTTGGCCTATGCAATGCACAGTGTTTAATGCAGTGCAGCAAAAATGAAACTGTCATGTCATGTACGTTTTGTATAGTTCTGTATTCTTGGGAATGAGATCTTGCAGATATTATATTCTTATTGTATTAAAGCGTCTTTACCTCCTTTAGGATCATAGAGCATCATTATCCATGGCTCTTCATCTCACTTTTTTATGTGCCAAAGCTTTCTTCTGTTGTCAGGTGAAGCTCACTGTGTGCAGGTCTTGGTCTGTTGATTTGTTCTGCTCACTAATATTGGTGCATCATGTCATGTGCCTGATTCTTATGATCCTTCATGAAGCATTGGCAGATGCGTTTTTCTCTGTATTGTTTGGAATTTATATTCAGGGCTCAAGACTAAGGATGAGTCCTGTCAGCATTTCCTTTTGGTTTATTTATTTATTGAAAAAAAAAAAAATTGAAATGGTCTATTGATTTTCCAGGTGTGTGCTGCTTGTTTTTGTGTTCTTTGCAGCAGTCTTTGCCAGGTCTCTCCTTTAAGAATTGAATCTCAGTGAGGGTTTTATTAGTATGTTAATAAAAGGCTACTAAACTTCACAACCCTGTGCATTGTCACTACATTTACATTTAGCAGAAGCTGTTATTCAGACATTTAAAGAAATTAGGCAATATAACAATTTTGATTCATCCTAAGGAGTTTGTGCATCATGTATGTGTGTAAATTTGATGGTTGTTAAATTTTGATGTTTCATTATGACTTGTATTAGCCTTAGAGGCATAATTTAGAGTAGGCTGAAAATTATAGTAATGTATATGTTAGTAAAAAAATAATACTTAAGTAAATATTAGCATTTTTCCAGGAAAAATTTGTTTTATATTATTATATATATTTATATGAGTTTTATAATAATAATATTATTATTATTATTATTATAGATTACATTTCAAGCCGGCATACAAATTAGGAAATACAACAACAGGGATTAATATGAGAGCATCACATGTATTTTTTGATTGTCCATGTGTGTTTTTTATTTTTGTGATGATTGTAAAATTTTGATGATTTAGTTATGTATTCATGAAAATATCATGATTTGCATCTTGGAAGCATGATTTAGAGTAGGCTGAAACTTATAAACATCAGTATCTTTATTCAGGAAATACGAATCTATATCTGTCATGGAGTTCAATTGTTGTTGTGGTTTTGCAAAGAAAACTTAATTTCATTAAAACATTATTTTTTTTATTATTATTATTTTTACACTGGGTGCAGTAAAAACATTGACAGGACAAGTAAAAATTGTATACTTATTTTTGAGCCCTGATATTGATCGTAAATCAAGTTTAGCTGTATTTCAAATGAACTCATTTTAAGTCCACGTCATTATAGCAAGGAAATTCTGGTTGTCGGCGCGTAGATGTTGAAGCAGTTTAGTTGTTTGTCGACGGATGCGGTTTCTGGCATGCATGGCTTGAGTGTTTATGAGTTGACTTTTGGAAAAATATGTCTTTGTTTTGTATTAGTTGTTATGGGAGTGGTGCTGTAATTACTTCAGGGATGTCTTTTGTTTGCTGCATACTGGCTCCACCTGCTGAGGAGCTTCACTTCAGCGAGGAAGATGGTTTCTCAATGCCAGACCAAGTGTTTGATTTCATTTTAAGTTTTCAGGAGATATTTTGTATGGTTTGATGTGCTATTGTCATTTTCATAGTTGTATTTTAAATTTTTGTCTTTACATTCAAATGACCATGGTTTCTTTTTGTCCACATAAAGAAGACATTTAGTCATGTGTTTTCCCCTTAACTTAATTTCTCTGCATGTCAGAGAGGATTTTGTCTGTTTGGTGAATTTGCAAGCTTTGCAAGTATGCACACATTGTTTGCAAGCTATGGTGTCCATAACAGATTCTTTAATTGTTGTTGGTAAACACAGTACTAAAAAACAGCTGGATGTTTACTCCACCCGCTGTTTTTGTGAAACCGGTTTCTGACTCACTGTGTGTTTGTATATATTCCCAGTCCCCTGAGAAAAACACAACCAGCATGGACTCTTCACTGACTGCTGTACAGATCCGTGAGAAGTTCATCGACTTCTTTCGCCGCTATGATCACCAATACGTCCACTCGTCGTCCACCATTCCGCTTGATGACCCCACTCTGCTCTTCGCCAATGCCGGGATGAACCAGGTAAGGAGATTTGAACCTAGTAACAAAAATGGACATAACATAAGCGCCGAATTGGTAGGAGAAAATAAATTGTTTTTATAGTTCAAGCCCATCTTCCTGAACACCATCGACCCGTCCCACCCTATGGCCAGACTTCGTCGTGCTGCAAACACACAGAAGTGCATTCGTGCCGGCGGCAAACACAATGACCTTGATGATGTGGGCAAAGACGTGTACCATCATACTTTCTTCGAGATGTTGGGCTCTTGGTCCTTTGGAGATTATTTCAAAGTAAGAGATGGATAGAAAGGTGTTACATACTGTGAAATCATGCTGTATTTCTTCATAGTGCTGATGCTCTTTTTATGTTGTTGTTGTATGTTTTGTTTTTCTGTATGAATGGAAAAACTCATTTTGGCTTTTCTCGTTGCATGCCTTTATTTCTCTCTTGCTCACTTTGTCTCTAGCACCTGGCCTGCAAGATGGCACTGGAGCTGCTGACGCAAGAGTTTGGCATACCTATTGGCCGACTCTATGTGACTTATTTTGGTGGTAATGCTGATGCAGGCCTGGAGCCTGACCTGGAGTGCAAGCAGATCTGGCTGGACTTGGGGTGAGTACAGAATCTGGACAAGGTGTATTAAAGGGTTAGTTCACCCAAAAATGAAAATTAGCTTGTGTTTTACTCACCCCCGAGGCAACCTAGGTGTATATGACTTTCTTCTTTCAGATGAATCCAGTTATATTAAGTTATATTAAAAATTGTCCTGGCTATTCCAAGCTCTATCATTGCAGTCAGTGGGTGTTGCAGTTGAACAGTCCACAAGTCGTCAAATAAAGCTTGCACATTTATAATAAAATGTGCCGCAGACGGCTCCGAGGGATGAATAAAGGCCCCCTGTAGTGAATCCATGTGTTTTTGTAAGAAAAATATCCATATTTCAAACGCAATAAACACTTTTCTCTCACTTCCACTGACTGTCATACACTGAAGCAGTTCCGGCGGATGACGCAGCACGTATCGTGATTAGTGACGAATGCGGAGAGAGAACAAAACAAAACGCCGATCACGAATTAGAAGTACAAACCGAGGATTTGCAAAGAAAAACGTCGGAGGATTTCGACATAAACCAAGAAGAGACTGGTTTTCCTTTGCTAAAGTAAGGAAACTTTGCTTCCTTTGCTCCTATAAACAAACTCGCGAGACTAGCATATCTCAGAGGCGCGCACTGCGCATACGTGCTGCGTCATCTGCCGGAACTGCTTCAGCCAGGACAATTTTTAATATAACTCCGACTGGATTTGTCTGAGAGAAGAAAGTCATATACATCTAGGATGCTTCGGGTAAGTAAAACACAAGCTAATTTTCATTTTTGGGTGAACTAACCCTTTAAGTTAGTGATGTGATATTGTTAAAGATTTCTTCTTTATCTTCACTCTGTCTCAGAATGGAGGAGAGCCGTACGTCGGAGGATTTCGACATAAACCAAGAAGAGACTGGTTTTCCTTTGCTAAAGTACGGAAACTTAGCTTCCTTTGCTCCTATAAACAAACTCGCGAGACTAGCATATCTCAGAGGCGCGCACTGCGCATACGTGCTGCGTCATCTGCCGGAACTGCTTCAGCCAGGACAATTTTTAATATAACTCCGACTGGATTTGTCTGAGAGAAGAAAGTCATATACATCTAGGATGCTTCGGGTAAGTAAAACACAAGCTAATTTTCATTTTTGGGTGAACTAACCCTTTAAGTTAGTGATGTGATATTGTTAAAGATTTCTTCTTTATCTTCACTCTGTCTCAGAATGGAGGAGAGCCGTATTCTGCCGGGGAGTATGAAAGATAATTTCTGGGAGATGGGAGACACCGGTCCATGTGGACCCTGCAGCGAGATCCACTATGATCGCATTGGCAGCAGAGATGCCGCCCACCTGGTCAACATGGATGACCCGAATGTGCTTGAAATCTGGAACCTGGTGTTCATTCAGTTTAACAGGTAAACCAAGTACAGCTAACAGTGGTAAACAGTTTACTAAAAGTTTGCACACACTTAGAGAGATTATTTTTTAGAGCCGCTTCTTATGTAATGTATTGTTCGAATGGATGCTCAACAATATATCAGCATAATATCAGCTATTGGCTTCTTAAAAATTTATCAGTCAAAGATTAATTAATTCTGAAAAACATGAATATATGGTTGATTGAGTGAATAAATGAATGTAAATTATTAATTTAAGAAATTAATGCTTTAATTCAGCAGTGACATTTTGCATTGTTCAAAAGGGTTAAGAAGTGTTACAATGCTCTTTTAAATAAATGCTGTTTTGAACTTTCTATTCATCAAAGAGCACAAAAATTTCCACAAAAATATCAAGCATCAACTTATTTCAACATTGATAATAATAACAAATGTTTCTTGAGCACCAAATCATATTGGTATTATTTCTGATGGATCACGTGACACTGGAGATCTAAATGACATTTTGAAAATTTTTAATATATTTTTTTTAAATTACTGTTTTTACTGTATTTGATCAGATAAATGCAACCTTTGATGAGCATAAGACACTTCATAAATATTATAATATATATTTTGTATATTAGTTATTGGCTATTACCACCTTTTATTTTTTAAACAAGGATATTATAAGTATGCACACATTGTTTTACATGCATATGGCCTCTCTATGCAGAGAGTCTGAGACTGTGCTAAAGCCTCTGCCCAAGAAGAGCATTGACACAGGGATGGGACTGGAGCGCTTGGTCTCTGTGCTGCAAAACAAGATGTCCAACTACGACACAGACCTGTTCATCCCTTATTTTGAAGCCATTCAGAAGGTAATATCATAGAAAGCATAGAAAAGCATCAGTTGTTTTGCACGCAATTAAAAATAATTTTCTTGGTTTTCAGGGCACAGGTGCCAGGGCATACAGAGGAAAGGTTGGCGCAGAAGACACCGATGGTATTGACATGGCATACCGTGTCCTGGCTGATCACGCCCGCACCATTACCATTGCCTTGTCTGATGGTGGCAGGCCTGACAACACAGGCAGGGGGTGAGATGATTGTATTATTATTTACTGAGTAATTGACATGTAGTCAATGTATGTGTATGTGACCCTGTTTTTGTGTTGCAGCTATGTGCTGAGGAGGATTCTGCGTCGTGCTGTGCGATACTCTCACGAGAAGCTGGGGGCACAGAAGGGCTTCTTTGCCTCTTTAGTAGATGTGGTGGTTGAGTCTCTGGTAAGGCCTCTATCTATCAGACACTATATTTTTTTCTCCTGATTTTATGTGCACAAGGATTCCTTGTGTGCAGCTTGGATGGTGATTCAGAGTGTCAGCTGCTAAAAAAATGGAAATGCTGTTTAATTAGATGCATCTCTCTGATGGCCATTGCTCTCTACAGGGTGATGCTTTCCCAGAGCTGCGGAAGGATCCTGATATGGTAAAGGACATCATCAATGAGGAGGAGGCACAGTTCCTCAAGACCCTTAGCAGGGGACGCCGCATCCTGGACCGCAAGGTCCAGAGTCTTGGAGACAGCAAGACTATACCAGGTAAAGCACAGAATGCGACAAAAGAACCATAACCGGTTTTTGTAACATGTATTTGAAAATAAAACACTTGCTATCCATTTTTCCAAATTTATAATGAGAATTGTTAATAAACCTAAGATAAGCTATAAGGTCTCTGTGTTTTTTTTACACCAAAATAAAAGCTCTTGGTTTAACATTTGGAAGCAAAGCTATTAAGACTTTAAGAAATTAGCATATTACATCAAGAAATTAAGGTAAGTATACATTAATATTAGTATTTTGAAATATTTGTATTGTGATAAAATTATTCTTGTTAAACAGATTTTTTTTAATTCTACAGTACAATAGTTTTATTACTATAGTAATATTATTTTATTATCATTTTTAAAAATTAATAAAATAAAAAATATATAATCATAATTTAAATGACTGTGAATCTGTCCTGAGACTGAATTGGAGAGAGATCCCCCCCCCTTATGCTAAAATCCACTAAATCCATATTCTAAAGCTGATATTTATTTTTCTCCATATAAATGTAATTGTTTTTGTGTAGGTGACACAGCTTGGCTTCTGTATGACACTTACGGTTTTCCTCTGGACCTCACGGCCCTGATTGCTGAAGAAAGAGGAATGGGAGTGGACATGCAGGCCTCTGAGGACGAGAAGAAAGCTGCTCAGGTTTAAGTTCATTCTTTCATACAGTGCAATTTCTATTTATCACAGAATAATTTCACGGTTATAAAAACACACGGAGGACACTCCTAGAACTCAGTGGTACCGATATCAGTGGTTAAAAACACTGATTTAATAGCACTGTTAAATGTAATCTAAGCTGTCTAAGCTGACTGTTTAATTTATTTATAAATGTTAAAATAGGCAGAAATGATCATGCACAATTAAATATCCTGTATCAACCAATATATCCAGTAATAACTGATAGCTATAATTTAAGTGTTTTGTTTTACTGTGAACAAGTCTAATCAAAAATGCCTGTGCACACAGTTGAAGTCTCAGGGCAAAGGCTCTGGGGACGAGGACCACATCATGCTGGACATCTACGCCATTGAAGAGCTCAGAAACAATGGTGTCGCTGCTACTGACGACAACCCCAAGTACAAGTACACTTCAGATGATAACGGCAACTATGGTACTAATTACACCTTTACTATTTCTCTTGATTTTTACGGTTTGATCATGCATAGGTTTTCATGCTTGTGATATTGTGTGTCCCTCTCAGAGTTTGAACAGGCAGTGGGCACAGTGCTGGCTCTCAGGAGGGAGCGTGCATTTGTTGATGAGGTGACCACAGGTCAAGAGTGTGGAGTGCTGCTCGACAAAACCTCTTTCTATGCCGAGCAGGGTGGCCAGAGCTTCGATGAAGGCTACATGCTCCGAGAAAACGACTCTGCTGAGGATGTAAGAAACTGAAGAGTGGTTGTTCAAAGAAGCTGAACTGCCTGGTTTAGTTATGCGTCGTCATGTTGTCATGTTTTATTTTGCTGCTTCAGAGGATGGAGTTCACTGTGAAGAACACTCAGGTGCGTGGAGGATACGTGCTGCATATTGGAACAGTATACGGCTCACTGAAGGTTGGAGACCGCCTAACTCTGCATGTGGATGAGGTATGTTAGTTTTGTCATTGATTTTGGAGTTATTTTACCTTGTCTACAAGCAAAATTGAAACTGAGTGACAAAATGTTGCATCTGGTTCAAAAAGAGAGAAGACTTTACACATGGATAGGATGCTACAAAGAATGCAACATAATTCCCTTCGTTTTCTCTCTCTCAGGCTCGTCGTAGGCCCATCATGAGCAACCATACCGCCACACACATCCTTAACTTTGCCTTGCGTTCAGTGCTGGGAGAGGCAGATCAACGGGGCTCTTTGGTTGCTCCAGACAGATTGCGCTTTGACTTCACAGCTAAAGGAGCCATGACCACAGATGAAGTGCGGCACACAGAAGAGAACGCCTCAACCATGATTCGTGACGCCAAGGTCAGGACCGTTCCACAGACTTGCAATTTTCAATCAAACACTTTGTATTCATATTGCTTGAAACTTTCTTGACAACTTTCTTATTCACAGTGAAGATATTTTGAAAACAGAACAATAAAGCTCTTTTTCAGTAAGTTAGCTGAACACAGATATATAGCTTACGTGTCCCTGAGAACACTTTTGTATTCTTTCTTATTTTGTCTGAAACTGAGATGCTCTGTATATGTTTTTCATCAGCCGGTCTATGCCCTGGATGCCCCCCTTGCAGCAGCTAAAGCCATCCAGGGTCTGCGGGCAGTGTTCGATGAGACGTACCCTGATCCTGTTAGAGTGGTGTCTATTGGCGTCCCAGTGGAGGAGCTGCTGGCTGATCCAAACAGTCCTGCAGGCTCACTCACCTCCATCGAGTTCTGTGGTGGAACGTATGACCATCAAATTTAAATATTATAATTTTTTAATATGGCAGGAGTTGGCTCTCTGGGCTCTAGCAGCACATCTAGTTTTCTGTGAATTTGAACAAAAATAGCAACTTTCTGTCCGGTCTCTGTGCTTAAGGGGTTAGTTCACCCAAAAATGAAAATTGGCTTGTGTTTTACTCACCCTCGAAGCATTCTAGGTGTATATGACTTTATTCTTTCAGACGAATCCAGTCAGAGTTATATTAAAAATTGTCCTGGCTCTTCCAAGCTCTATCATTGCAGTCAGCGGGTGTTGCAGTTGAACAGTCCACAAGTCGTCAAATAAAGCTTGCGCATTTATAATAAAACGTGCCCCACACGGCTCCGGGGGGTGAATAAAGGCCTTCTGTAGTGAATCCATGTGTTTTTGTAAGAAAAATATCCATATTTCAAACGTAATAAACACTTTTATATCACTTCCGCCAACTGTCATACGCGGAAGCCATGCCGGCAGATGATGTAGCACGTCTGCGTTGCGTGATTAGTGAAGAATGCGGAGAGAGAACAAAACAAAATGCCGGTCACGAATTAGAAGTACAAAACGAAGTTTTGCAAAGAAAAATGTCGGAGGATTTTGATATAAACCAACAGTAGACTGGTTTTCCTTTGCTAAAGTAAGGAAACTTTGCTTCCTTTGTTCCTATAAACAAACTCGCTAGACTAGCATATCGCAGAGGCGCGCGCACGCTGTGCATATGTCATACGCCTTCCGCTTATGAAAGATAACGGAAGTGAGAGAAAAGTGTTTATTACGTTTGAAATATGGATATTTTTCTTACAAAAAAGCATGGATTCACTACAGAAGGCCTTTATTCATCCCCTGGAGCCGTGTGAAGCACGTTTTTATTATGAATACTCGTGCTTTATTTGAGGACTTGTGGACTGTTCAACTGCAACACCCGCTGACTGCAATGATAGAGCTTGGAAGAGCCAGGACAATTTTTAATATAACTCTGACTGGATTCGTCTGAAAGAAGAAAGTCATATACACCTAGAATGCTTCTAGGTGAGTAAAACAAGCCAATTTTCATTTTTGGGTGAACTAACCCTTTAATGAATAAGTAAGGAATAATTGACTATGGACCGTTGAATTATTAGAAAATAATGCACACCCGATTATTTTAGACCTAGTACCGGAGGCTTGAGCCATTGATGGCAGACTAATGCTGTTAATAATTAAGTTATTAGAGAGAGAGATATTAAGAGTGTGGATTACCTCTTTATCTCTCAACAGTGTTCGGCAGCAGCGTCTCTACTAATAGTGAAACTTTCAGTTTATTTTCTTCAAGAACAGTGCTGCGGTTACCTCGCTTGTATAAAATGTCATGTAGCTTTTAAGTTACTAAACTATTTTACTGATAAAAACATCAGAGTAGCACTAACAACGTTAGCGAGTGTGTGCAAGTGTCTGTACTGTATGTGTGTGTGTCTGTAAGGAAGAGAGAGCGGGAGAAATAGAGTATGTGCTTTCCGTGCATAATAAAATTTAATTTTGTGGCAAAAACATGGAAATAATCTGTAGTTTTTATCCTGTTGTTTACTGTATTTATTTGCTTGGCCAGTGTCGTTGTGGGTTTTGGTTATTTTGCTGTTTTAGGCTGTAAGGACTTTTGAAATAACTGAAATCATTTGGCGGAGTGATATGGACATCTATTGTGGTCAAGACCTGCCTGCGTGCGTTTCCCTGAAAATAATTGCACACCTTAGAACATTCGTCAGCCAATCAGATTCAAGCATTCAACAGCCCCATAGTATAAATTAATAATTAATGGCAAATTTTGATTACTGATGTTTTTTGTTTATGGAATCAAAATGTTTAAGAAAGCAATATTTTCCTCAGCCCTAATGAGTTTGATATTTTTAACCTATAGGCACTTGAAGAACTCAGGTCATGCTGCACCATTTGTGATCGTATCAGAGGAAGCGATCGCTAAAGGAATCAGGAGGATTGTGGCAGTGACTGGAGCAGAGGCTCAGAAGGTTGAAGGAGACAGGGCCAACATGAATATGCGCACTTTCATTTTTAACTGATACTTTTTCATATCTGATGTAGGGTTGGGAATATAGAACTGGTTTTTGCTGTCTGATTTGAATGGGATATGAAAGATGAAAGAATACAAGGATTAAATATGTTTATTCTGTTTTTCTTGCTGTTTGCATGCACAGTCTGGCTAGTGTAGTTTGATTGACAGATAAATTTATTCTTTTGAGCCGGTTCTATTCAACAAATCAGACATTAAGACTCCCAAATAATGTACTTTATAATTGTGAGAGTTAATTCAATGAAATTATTGACTGATTATATGTGTGTAAATACACTTTCAAAACGGTGTTGTTGTTTTTTTTAAGTAGTTTTATTTATTTATTTATTTGAGATTTTAGGACCAAATTATTGGTGGGTAAATAATTTAGGTAGCAGAATTAAGTTCCTAGATTCCCATTTCTAATAGTTCTTGACAGATTGATGTTTGTGTTGTCAGGCCCAGAGGAAAGCTGATGCACTGAAGCTGGAACTAGATGCAATGGCAGAGAAAGTGAAAGCTCAGACCACCCCCAATAAAGATATTCAGAAGGAGATTGCTGATATGACAGAGGTGAGCTCAATGACATATTCTGCTCTTGCCTGTCTAGAATCAGTGGTACGTCTGATTTTACCCTTCAAAGTGTAACTGAATCTGTGTATGCATATATATTCAGTCCCTGGGCACTGCAGTCATCTCTCAGTGGCGGAAGGATGAGATGAGGGATTCCCTGAAAGGTCTTAAGAAGATCATGGATGACCTGGACCGTGCCAGCAAGGCTGATGTACAGAAGAGGGTAAGAGAACTTGATTCAGATGTGGGATAGTTATAGGGCTGAAACGATAAGTCAACATTATCGACAATAAAAAATTGTCGACAAATATTTTTGTTGTCGAGTAGTTGTTTGATCTCATATGACCTAATGGAAGAGCAAACAATAATGCGGGTTGACCAGTGTGGCGCTGTAGCACAAGACAGTAATTCAGCCCTCCTGGATGCAATTCAAGAGAAGACGACACAGCGCTTCAGAGCAAACGCAGCCAAACCTGAAGCTGCTAAGTGGTGTTTGGATGAATATGTAAATATATGCTGCACTGCACGCTTTCCTCTCAATAACAAAATAAACACAACAAAAACTGACCGCAGTGTGAAAGCAGCGTGTGTCAGACTTTTCCAGGTTTTAAGTGCTATAATCAGGTCCCCGGTGCATCTACCAACCCAGGAAACGTGAAAAAGATTAACCCAGTAACTTTGTTTTGGTAAGCCTTTTTCTGCAAGCTCTGAGAAAACAAGCGTGTCTGATTTCACTCCCTTGGTGACGTGGCAAAGGGATCTCATTATAATATTACCGCCCCTTAAATGTACGTTTCCACCCATGGCCCCATCATTTTGATTTCGCAAGCCACAACGGTGTACTAGTTCTAATGCCATGGCGAAAGTTTGAGCAAAGCATGTTAACTGTTCTTTCGTTGGCTACACAGACGAGCACAGAACACTATTTAGAGTCCCAGCCTCAGAGGAGACAAGACAACAGTGGATTTATTTACTGTATATTGCTGCTGCCACACAGATCTAAAATAAACAAGCGATTTATTTCCCAGCTGTTTACCTTCACAGACATAACTGACTGTTTTTGTAACTTGTGTGTTTTTAACGTAAACTTGTGTGTGAATGAGAACTTAGTTTAGTACTCACATGCTGTGACAGCCGCTTTCTGTCCGTGTGCTTCGGATGTGTGTGCTCAGAAAAACATATGTCAGAAGTTTAAACGAATATGGTTTAAAGCGCATGATTTCAGCGTGATAAACATGATAATCAGAACCAAAACAGATGTTTTTAGCAGGTAGGAGCTGTAATGGGCAGCTCTATTCTGGAAAAGGGGGCGGGGAGGCGCAGCTCATTTGCATTTAAAGAGACAGGCCCGAAAAACAGTGCGTTTCTGCTTCCACTCAAAATAGGCATTTTCAAAATGCTATAATAAATGATCTGTGGAGTATTTTGAGCTGAAATTTCACAGACATATTCTGGGGACACCAGAGACTTATTACATATTGTAAAAAGGGGCATAATATGTCACCTTTAAGAAAGCATCTGATTACAGCAATGGGGATGTTTGCAGGAGCTCTGCAGTTCAGTACTCCAGTAAAGTCACTTCACGTCACGTTTATTTAGGCTATATAGTACTTTATGCAGTAGATAGCCTTAAATCAAGCAGCTTTATAGTATTAAACATGAAAAACCAGAGTCAGTGTCTCTTTCAGTTAGAATTACAACTTTATTTTTTGTTATAAACCAGCTTTCCAGTGTGGAGCTAGCTAATGATAAAATCTTTTTATTAGTGGGAAAAACATTATTTCATTAAAGTGATAGTTTGGTTTGCAGAGATCAAAGCTTGATCTAGCTCAGGATTGTTTTGATTATCATAAGGTATTTTAAGAGAGATTATGTTGTGAATACAATAGTTTATCCAAAAATAAATCGTCTCATCTCTTACCTTTATTTTGTTTCTTTTCCATATGACTTACAAAAGATGTTAGGCAGAATGATGTAATTCAGTTACGTTTTCATATAATATACAAATATATTTATTTGTATAAATTAATTGTATAATAATTATAATTACATAATATGATTTTCAAAAGCTGAAGTGATTACCTTTATTTATTTGTTAGAATATGTATAACACAATATTTTAACTAATTGCAAAAGCTGAATAATCAAAGTCTACTGATTAATCAGCTAAATAATCGATTACTTGTTCTAATAATTGTCAGATTAATCGATTATCAAAATAATCGTTTGTTGCAGCCGTTGATAATTAGTCTCTGAGATTATTGGAAAGTCAAAGACCAACTGTGAACACGTGGTTTTAATTTTAGGTCCTGGAAAAGACAAAGGAGATCATCGAAAGTAACCCCAACCAACCTCTGATCGTGATGGAGATGGAGAATGGAGCATCTGCAAAGGTAACTCTCTCATTGTCTTTTCAAATTACGAGTCTATACTTGTCTATACTGATTTGAATTTTGTAATTGTCTGCAGTGAAAGTCTTAATGATTTGTCCATGTGTCCTCAGGCTTTGAATGAGTCTCTGAAGCTGCTGAAGACAAATTCACCACAGACTGCTGCTATGCTTTTTGCTGTGGACAACGATGCGGGGAAAATTATCTGCTTGTGCCAAGTGCCTCAGGTAAACGTATTAGAGAGAACTTTATTCTGTAAGATGGCTGAGGGCTCTCTTAAAATTTTTAACCAGATCTACTTTAAAGCATAAGATATACTTATTGTGAAAGAAATATATACTTTTAATCTGGAAGGACACAGTTTACACCAAAAAATATTAGGCTGCATAATGGTTTTCAATATGATAATATAAAATGTTGGTTGAGCAGCACCAAATCAGCATATTACTATGATACTAATTGATCATGTGACACTGAAGACTGGAGTAATGGCTGCTGAAAATTCAGCTCAAAATATATTTAAAATATCTTAAAATAGAAAACAATTATTTTTAAATTGTAATATTTTACAATGTTTCTGTCACTGTATTTTTGATCAAATAAAAGCAGGTGAGCATAAGGGAACTTTTCAAAAAAAAAATTTTTTTTACTCAGTCTAAATGTTTGAATGGTGGTGTATTTTTCTTAATACACATTACTGATGTTACTGTGAATGATTCATCAGTGTACATCATGTTCAGCGAAATAAGAGTAATAACCAGCCTTTCCTCTGAAATAACTTTGAACCTCTAGAAGTTAAGGGCCCTATCATACACCTGTCGCAATGCAAGTGCTTTTTGCTAGTTTCAGCCCGACGCAGTTGTCATTTTCACATCCTGCACCACATTGTTTAAATGGCAAATGCATTTGCGCCCATTGGTGCGCCCAAGGGCGTGCTGGTCTGAAAATGAGGTGTGTTCAGGCACGTTGCTATTTTGAGGCAACTGAAATAGACTGTGCCATTGACCAACAGAAACCTGGTCTAAAGTCAATAGCGCAGTAGTTTTTTTGTTATTTAAAGACCACGTTAGTATAGGCGGGTCCACCGCGCGCGTACACTCTGCTTATTACACACACACACACACACACACACACACACAGGGACGCACAGCAGCACACAAACATGCCAAATATTAAAAATTAAAGGATTGCAATGTAAAATATTATTATTGTGTAGGCTACTACATAAATATAAAAATGCTTACATGTCATAGTGGATAGCCATTGCATGTATCAGAATTAGGCTACCTATTTGCTCGCGCATGAGCAGCTCCGTTTCATCTCTGGAGACGCGTTCTGTCTTTGCACTTGCAAATTCTGCTGTGTAAATAGCAAATCCGCCATGGCACGAGTGCAACTGCCTCTTAAAGGTGTCATATGATGCTGCTAAAAAGAACATTATTTTGTATATTTGGTGTAATGAAATGTGTTTATGCGGTTTAAGGTTCAAAAAACACATTATTTTCCACATACTGTACATTATTGTTTTTCCTCTATGCCCCGCCTTTCTGAAACGCCTCGATTTTTACAAAGCTCATCGGTCTGAAAAAGCGAGGTGAGCTCTGATTGGCCAGCTATCCAGTGCGTTGTGATTGGCCGAATACCTCAAGCGTGTGATGGAAATGTTACGCTCATTACCATACTGTGATGATGCCCTGTCAGGCCGGAGCGATGATTCAAAAACATGAAAACCCATTACAAACGAGGCATTCGTTGCATCCAGTGGGGACATAATTATGGATTATAATGACTTATACTGTCTTTTTACGCGTTGCGTTGCATCGCGCCGCGTAAACATAAAACCATGTCTGCATTTGTGATCGGAGAAATGACAAACAACAAGCCCTACTCTACACTGCCCAAAAAACTCACTTTAAATATATAAAATATAAAAACTCTTTAAATATAAAAAACATACTTAGTCTTTGAGTCAGAACTGCCGGCATTGTAGTCTACTCTCCCAGGATCAGGAAACGGTCCTCCATAAAATGTGCTGCACACATATGACTGACCACTGATTTCTAGTCGTGTCCATTTTTGGAAGGCCAAACTAAGTAGTTTTGCTTTCACAACGAAACACAGCATCACACATGGCAGCCTAGAGTGAGCAGAGGCCGGGGGCTACTTTAAAGTGAATGGGAGATGAGACTCTGATTAGTTTATTGCACGTTATGCCCAAAACACACCCATTACTCATTAAGAGAATAGGGACAAGCCTTTTAGACCATAGACCGTTTTTCCCATCTTTAAACTAGCAAAAGTGGATTTGGACATGCCCTAAGTGCACCTGTGCCGTGTGCTTTAGACCATGCACTTAGATCGTTAAAATAGGGCCCAAAATGTGTTTCAGATGCCACATTTGGTTTGTATTCACATTTAATGCTGGTTAAATATTACTTTGACTTGCATGGTAGTAGAAACAATAATGCAAATGTAAAGTAGCAATTTAAAATCACCAATTTGCTCTGGTTGCGTTTCCAGGATGTTGCAAACCAAGGCCTGAAGGCCAGCGAGTGGGTTCAGAAAGTGTGCCCTCTGCTGGACGGAAAAGGAGGTGGTAAAGACATGTCTGCCCAAGCCACGGGTAGAAACACGCATTGCATTCAGGAGGCTCTGCAGCTGGCCAATGAGTTTGCCCATCTCAAATTGGGTGAAAATTAAGGAGAGAGAGAGAGATGTAGCTGCGTAGGTGAGGTTTAATCTGGAAAGAGGTCTTTAGTTTGGTCTTAACCTTCCTCCTGTCCTGTTCCAACTCTGCCTGATGATTTTTTTAAACTGGACATTCCAGGCTGGAAAATGTAATAACTGTACATAAATGTCATTTGTGAATTATGGATAGGAAGGGGAATGTATAGCGGCGCGTTCAGTAAATTGGGGTATTGCAGATGGTTCAACTTATCCATCAAACCGTCCTGACTCTCTGATGCACATGGGCTGTGCATGCTTTCTGATCGGATTACATTTAGATTCACAGTTTAATGTTGTTCTGCTAGCTCAAATCACCCTCATGGCCATTGTTATCTTTCTGAGCATATGATGAGGAAGAAAATTTTCATTATCACTCTATTAGAAGGTGTCTTTTTATCATAAGATTTTCCATTACATTTGTAGAATTGTTGGTCTGTCTCTTTAACAGGAGGAATGTCATATAATGGTTCAGGAAAAATCATGTCAACACTGTTAACCTTTCACTAGCTCTAGCATCTGTTTTGGGAAAACAAGCCATTAATCACTGTCACATGAAATGTTTCACTTGTTAATGGTAATAAAAAATTGTTTTAAATGCATAAATGATTTTTTGTTGTTCTGTGGAGTCGTGTATATGCGTCTGATTGTTAACGGAATACACTATCTGGTGATTTTGTCAACTCTAACTACATGAATCATCAAATTCAGGTTAGAGATCCTTAACTGTCATAGTACTACTATTATTATTAATCAACATCATTATAAAATTATTTTTATATGATACATTCTGAACTCTTTATATCACTTTCATTTAAAACAATATGCCTGTAATTTCTATAAATGGGTGTGCCAGACTTTCAGACAAACGCTCCAGTCAAGCTCAAACACATTATTATATAACTACATAATGGCAAGGGGACAAAAAGCATGAAAGAGCTAAAGTGAGTCATTGCTTAGAGAGGGATTCAGGGTTAGCTTATAAAGGGGTGTTAACTTGAAGTTTAGTTAACTTTTAAAATTATGATTATCAGTGTGTAAAGTTTTAAACATGTCACAAAACATCACGGAATTCAATAAATCCATTGTTAGTTACTGATGTAGCATTTGGACCAATCAGACACACAACTTTTTGTTATATTTAACAAATAATATCTAACTCCCCCTCACCTAACCAAATGGCCAATTACGAGGGTCTATGGACCCTTCCCCCGAAATGCACCTAACACCTCAGAAAGGCAGAACAGGCCTCTGGTTCCATGGTAACCAATGCTGATATCACTGGTTTTATGGCCTAAAGGAATGCAGGCAGACAAACTCCCTCATTTTCCTCATAAGAAAGACACAAAATGCCCATTGAAGATCTGAACCTACAGGACATTATTTGATATGTATGCAGATTTATAGCAGCACAGAGAAAACAGAGCCTGAATGGGAGATTGATAGTGTTCTATTGTTCAGGGAATAAAGAGTGTCTTAATTCAGAGAATATAAATCTGTGAGAGGAAGGATGGGAATATATTACCTTGTCTTTATCCACACGCAGAAACTGCTTCACTGGAGCGTAAGTGCTGAGAGAGAGAACGATTTGGAAAGAAAAAGTTATAAGTCTTCCCACTTCTGGCATCTCTTCATCTTTTCATAAAAAAACAGTGAATTGAACTGCTGCTAACTTTCTGGTGTTTTTCAGTGAAGTAGAGAATGTTGTTGATGAAGCTTGGTGATATGTGGCGGTGTGTGTGATTTGAATGATGCATTTCTGGGTACAGAACACTGACTGCAGTGTGCTCACAGACAGAATATACGAATGTCTCATTGGCCATACTGCAGCTACTACCGCTAGGACTCAAAATTCAGATACGGACAACCACATTTTTATTAAATCCACAGTGACTGAAAACAGAAATTAACAACAAATTTATTGATGGGATGTCACACTCCAATGAATTTTTTTTATCATGAAGGTACTAATATATATATATATATATATATATATATATTTTTTTTTTTTTTTTTTTAAACATACAGTACCTCGCACACCCAAATCTGAAAGCATGTTCATCAAATGAACATTCAAAATAAACCAAAAAATTAGAAATCCTGCACACCACTCCACCTTGCTTAGTAACAAAATAACTTAAATATGAAACATTTTAGTCAACAGATGTTTCTGTTGCATATTAAATTTATTTACTAAGCAAGTTCAATTGGTGTGCGGGATTTCTCATTTTTTAGTTTATCATGTTAGAGTGATTGGGGTTAAAAATAAATAATTTAAAAGAAGAAACAATTTTATAAAAGAAAATATTGAATAAAAAAAATACATATTTAAAATTAAGATTTAAATAAATAAAAAATACAAATCAAAATTAAAGATTTTGACAACCAAATTAAACACTTTTAGCTTAATTAAACTTAGTGTCTGAAAAATATTTTTTTTTAGAAAGACAAAACAATTGAATGTGGTTTAAAAAAAAAAACAATAAAAGGAAAAAAAAAACAGTAAAACTATAAAAATAAAATAATTTAAAAGAAAAATGAAACAAAAGAAAAAATTTTATTCAGGATTTTGACAAAACTTTCATTAAAGCTACAGTGTCTGAAAACTGAACTGAATAGTTAATTCATCAAAAACAAAAAGTGGAGCCCATTGCAAAAAACAGAAAAATTCACATTCAGGCACTCACATAGCAAGCAAAGTAAAAAGCCTTTAATTATAAGACAGGGTTACATATTAAAAAACACCAACGCGTATCAGCCCAAGCAGGCCTTCATCAGAGTGTTGATAAGGCTTTTTACTTTGCTTGCTATGTGAGTGCCTGGATGTGGATTTTTCTTGGGCTTGGGCTGATACGCGTTGGTGTTTTTTAATATGTAACCCTGTCTTATAATTAAAGGCTTTTTACTTTGCTTGCTATGTGAGTGCCTGGATGTGGATTTTTCTTGGGCTTGGGCTGATACGCGTTGGTGTTTTTTAATATGTAACCCTGTCTTATAATTAAAGGCTTTTTACTTTGCTTGCTATGTGAGTGCCTGAATGTGGATTTTTCAGTTTTTTGCAATGGGATCCACTTTTTGTTTTTGACAATTTGTTCCCTCTCTGCTTGTCTTGCTTGATGCGCCCTTGGTCACGATTTGTTTCTCTGAATAGTTAATTTATTGAAGGGATGTCACATTCTTATGACTTTATTTTACCATGTTAGAGTGACATAATATGACATGAGATTGTGGTTAAAATAAATAAAATAAAATACAAATATTTAAATAAAAATAATAAAAAATAAAAATGATTTAAATTAAAGAGGTCATATGATGCGATTTCAAGTTTTCCTTTCTCTTTGGAGTGTTACAAGCTGTTGGTGAATAGATAAGATCCTTAAAGTTGCAAAGACTAAAGTCTCAAACCCAAAGAGATATTCTTTATAAAAGTTACACCTACCTAAAACAGCTCGTTCTAACACATGTCTACGTCACGATTTGCATAACACCGCCCAAATGTTCACGCAAAGAAAGAAGGCGTAACTTTATTGTTGCTGCCACCGCCATGTTGTGAAGACACTGTGTGTTTCGTTGCGAAAGCGAAAAAACTTTGTTTGGCCTTCCAAAAGAGGACACAACTAGAAATCAGTGGTTAAGTTGTATTTACAACACTGTTCCAGAACAGTTCAACCCAAATATTCATTTGTGTGCAGCAGATTTTATGGAGGACTGTTTCCTGATCCTGGTAGAGTAGACTACAATGCCGGCTGTTCTGACTCACAAACTGTAAGTACGTTTTCATATTTAAAGGATTTGCCACTGACGATTCAAACGCGAGTTTTGAGCAGTGTAGAGTAGCGCTTGTTGTTTGTCGTTTCTCCGGTCACAAATGCAGACATGGTTTTATGTTTACGCAGCACGATGCAACGCAACGAGTAAAAATACAGTATATGTCATTATAATCCGTAATTATGTCCCCACTGGATGCTACAAATGCCTCGTTTGGAATGGGTTTTATTGGTTTTGTCTCGTTGCGCCAGTGTTCTGACGATTTGTGCTACCCTGTCAGATTTTGCTACCTCCCATTAAAACAGATGGTAGCATATTTCGGAAGCAAAATCCTTTATTAACATGCACACCTACCCCAACCCTAAACCTACCCTTATAGTAGGATAAATACAGTGTTGGTAGCATAATCTGATAGGTAGCATTATTTGTTAGAACACCGGGACACGGCCTCACAGTATGGTAAGGGGCGTAACATTTCGGTCACATGCTTGAGGAATTCAGCCAATCACAATGCACTGGATAGCTGGCCAATCAGAGCACACCTCGCTTTTCAGACCGATGAGCTTTGTAAAAATCGACGCGTTTCAGAAAGGCAGGGCATAGAGGAGAAACAATAATGTACAGTATGTGGAAAATAATGTGTTTTTTTTTTTCCTTAAACCGCATAAACATTTCATTACACCAAATACACAAAATAATGTTCTTTTTAGCAACATCATATTACCCTTTAAAACATAATATAAAATAATAAAATAAAAAATAGTGCAGCTATCTCTTTTCCTAAAATACTTGTGTCTGCATTATTGTTCTCACAAGCGGATCTGGCCGGAGGAGAGAGCACTGGTGATCCACAACAAGTCGAGAGTCTTGAAGGGCACCAGCACAAAGCTAACGTTGGCCGCCAGGTTTTTGGCACTTTCTGGGTACATGAAGTGGTGTGTGGTACGGCTGCCGGCATCCTCTTCGTACCCTACAGTGGGAGCCAGGTTCATCCTGGAACACACAGACCCAATTGAATTGGACCGTGAAAACGCTCCCTCACTTTTGCTCAAACAAGCCCTATTACTTTAGCATTTCATTATTTTCCCCATGACGGAGTACAGAGAACAAACAGAAAGTGCATTCAGGTTGATAGCCAGCAGCAAAAAAAAGTAGACAGAGAGACATCACCATTCATTGTAATTGTACAGAAAATAATAACCAGGGAATTATTCAAAATGCTTTTTGTTCCACAGAAAAACATTGTAAGGGTTTGGAATGACATGAGGGTGTATAAATGACACAATTTTCATTTTGGGGTGACCTATTCCTTTAAGAGAGACAGACTGCAAGAGACAAGCAAGATGATGGAAAGAGGGTGTGGATCAGACAGGAACGCAGACAGGGTCGGTGTCCATTCAGGAGACACGTCTGTTTCCCCGGTGGATGTCAGAGCTTCTATTTCACAGCTCATGACCTCTCAACAAAATGCTCCGATTAGAAAACAAAAATCCTGCCTCCCTTTCTCATTCAATCTGTATTCTACATGTATTCACTGAAATTCAGAGAACTGCCTTACATCACCAAGGTTTTGCAAACACATAGAATCTCAAGCTTGTATCCAGGCACCAGGATTTAAAAAGCTTTAGATGCAATAGTCCTAGAGATTTTAATGCAAAACAAATATCACGTCATCTCTCTCTCTCGCTTTCTTTATCTTCTTAAGACTAAAAGCTTTTCTCAAAGTGAGTGAGATGTTTTACCAATCAAATCTCAAGCGTTTTTCTTCTTATATCATCAATCTCTAATAAACAAAAGGCCAAAGAGCAAGGCTTAAACTGGAAACCACAATAATAAAAAATCATTTTTTTGGTGGAAGTGCAAGAAAGGTTTGTTATTCTACAGCTCTGTTGTAGTGTTTAGTAGTAATCCATTTGGTAATTAGCACTGGTTTTCACAAATTAATTAAAAGTAAACAACAAATTAATGAATAAATTCTCACCAAAAATTCACACCAGTATGTAATGTCAAGATGGCTGCCATGAGCAGAGGTGGCTCCACACCCGCTCTTTTGTATCAGCTTTTCTTGCGAATTCTGGTTGGATTGGTCTACATTCTTCAAGTTTTATTCCAGTAGGAAAAAAAAAATCAACATTCATTAATAGAAAAACTCAGGATTACCAGCTTTAAACCACAACATGGGAGTAACAAGATCTGACTGCACATGGCTGATCTACAAAACTACAGATATACAGTATTGATCTCTAAAGATTTAAGGAATAAAGTGGTTAGTGAACTGAGAAAAGCAAAGTCATCTTATTTCATGCAGTTGTTTGCTGACTCACAGGGCAATAGCTCGCTTTTTTGGAAACATATGAATAAATTATATAAGTATGTCAATATGCCATTGTTTGATTGTTTAGGTACAACATATACTCACATAGTTATCTATATATACACATGTGTAATTGTACTTGTTTTGTGCCTTGTGATGACTGTTTGTTTTTTATTTGGATGTTTTGATTTTATGTAAAAGCTTAACCAGGGATGAGGGCTGCAAACTAGCTTTATGCTACATGTCCTATATACACAGCATCGGTTGTCTTTATGTAACAATTTGGAAACGTATGAATAAATTAACCACAAATTCAGTCAAAGTAAGGACATAACTAAACTGAATATAAATGAAAAGTACTGATGCTTTGGAAATTGCAAAAATGAATTTAATACCTTTTTTTAAATCAATAGAAGAACTTGCAGCAAATTTAAATTCTGTTTATCACATGTAGTAAGAAATTCATCTTCATCTTTTTATATTTCACAGGTTGATCAAGATAAAATCGGTAAAATTATTAATCAATTAAACAGTTCAAAAGCTAAAGATATATTTGGTTTAGATGCTTCTCTTATTAAAAACGGTGCAACTCTGGTAAGGCCAATAGCTAATTTGCTAATTTTATCTATTAAAACTGGTGAGTTTCCACAATTTTAAAACCGCTGTGGTGAACAAAGTTTTTAAGTCTGGAGAGACTGATGAGGTGTGTAATTATAGACCCATCTTAATTATTCCAGTAATTTCCAAAGTCATAGAAAAGTTAAACAATTAATTACTTAGAGTATAATTAAACAATTATACTCTAAGCAATTTGGATTTTGGCCAAAGTATTCAACAGAATTGGCTATATGTCATTTTATAGATACCATAAAAAGTAGTTGTGGTGTGAAGTCATCACTTCGAAAATGCAAACTAGGTATACCACAAGGCTCAATATTGGGTCCTTTGCTTTTTTTGTTTATATATAAATGATTTACCTGAAAGTTGCAAGGAGGTTGGTTGTCAAATGTATGCAGATGACACAAATATTTATGTAACAGCAGAAACTTCTCATCTGGCTGCAGAATTGTTACCCAGGCAACTGGTCAGTGTTTCCCAGTGGCTGCAGGATAACTGTTTAACTTTAAATTACAACAAAACAGTTTCAATGTGTTTTTCACTAAGGAGCAAAGCGCTGTATGTATTTATTTGACCAAAAGGAAATCAAGGAAGTGAGTGAATTAAAAAATTTAGGTGTCACTGTAGACTCCAAGCTTCAAGGGATAGTTCACCCAAAAATGAAAATTCTGTCATTAATTACTCACCCTTACTCTAAGCAATTTGGATTTTGGCCAAAGTATTCAACAGAATTGGCTATATGTCATTTTATAGATACCATAAAAAGTAGTTGTGGTGTGAAGTCATCACTTCGAAAATGCAAACTAGGTATACCACAAGGCTCAATATTGGGTCCTTTGCTTTTTTTGTTTATATTTAAATGATTTACCTGAAAGTTGCAAGGAGGTTGGTTGTCAAATGTATGCAGATGACACAAATATTTATGTAACAGCAGAAACTTCTCATCTGGCTGCAGAATTGTTACCCAGGCAACTGGTCAGTGTTTCCCAGTGGCTGCAGGATAACTGTTTAACTTTAAATTACAACAAAACAGTTTCAATGTGTTTTTCACTAAGGAGCAAAGCGCTGTATGTATTTATTTGACCAAAAGGAAATCAAGGAAGTGAGTGAATTTAAAAATTTAGGTGTCACTGTAGACTCCAAGCTTCAAGGGATAGTTCACCCAAAAATGAAAATTCTGTCATTAATTACTCACCCTTATGTCGTTCCAAACCCGTAAGACCGCCGTTCCTCTTCGGAACACAAATTAAGATATTTTTGATGCATTCTGACAGCTCTCTGGCCCTCCCATAGACAGCAAGGGTACTACCACGATCAACGTCCAGAAATGTACGGATCGTGGACGTTTCTGGACGTTGATCGTGTAAGCACCCTTGCTGTCTATGGGAGGGTCAGAGAGCTGTCAGATATAATCAAAAATATCATAATTTGTCTTCCGAAGATGAACGGAGGTCTTACGGGTTTGGAACGAGATAAGGGTGAGTAATTAATTACAAAATTTCCATTTTTGGGTGAACTAACCCTTTAAGTTTGATGCCCATATTAAGAACATGTCTAAGACTATTAAGACAAATTCAAACAGTTTTCATATGATAAGACCATGCATATCTCTTAAAGCAGCTCAAATGTTTATGCATACTATAATATTTTCACATGTGACCTATTGTGCGATAATTTGGGGTCAGGCTTCCCAATCAGTTGTTAAGCCTGTAATGTCATTATACAAACAAACTTTAAAAGTAATGGATCAGAAACCAATGAAATGGCATCATCAAAATTCTTCAAAAGTATTGTTAAGTTTTGATAATTTTTTTGATAAAAAGTTTTCATTTATAAAAACAGTATTTAAGTCTATATGAGCTTGCCCCTGATGTAATCTGTCAGCTGATACAAAAATACAGTAGTTATGGGGCAAAGACCAGAGGGGCAGTAAGTGGGAATTGTAGAGTTTGGAGATACAGAACTACTGAGGGTCAATCATCCTTTTCAGTGAAAAGTTCACATCTATGGAACACCATGCCTGTAGATTTAAAGTTGCAATCAGAACTCACAGTTTTTTCTACAAAGCTGAAACAATGGCTGAAGTCTCTACAGCGATGTGAACATTAAGTACCTTAGACTTATTCAGGCTGGTTAAGCTTACATTTTCTTTCTGTATGCAGGATAATTTACATTTTATGCTTGTGACTTTGTATAAAGTTACATATGCGTTTAGGTATGTCAATATGCCATTGTTTGATTGTTTAGGTACAACATATACTCACAGTTATCTATATATACACATGTGTAATTGTACTTGTTTTGTTCCTTGTGATGACTGTGTTTGTTTTTTATTTGGATGTTTTGATTTTATGTAAAACCTTAACCAGGGACGAGGGCTGCAAACTAGCTTTATGCTACATGTCCTATATACACAGCATCGGTTGTCTTTATGTAACAATGCCTAGCGTATTGCCCCTGTTAAATAAACAAACAAATAAAATACAAAAATACAGAAGTATATACATGAAATGCAGTTGGTATGCTACAAGGATGCTAACAGATTTCAAACAAAGTACTGTTTACTTTAATAAAAATGTTTCAGCCAATGGAAACTTATGAGCCAATAAACAGCAACAGCAAACTAATTTGACTGAGGCAGGAAGCTCAAACCATCTCTTAAACTGTCAAAATGAAAGCAGACAGCAGTTAAACAAATAAAGAGACAAGGAGACAGCTGCTGTGGGGCAGAAGAAAGAAATGGATACAGCGGAGGACGAGATTTCAGAGCTGAATCAATAAAGACTTGACTGAAATAGCACCTCAATTTATACCTCCGTCTCTTTCAGCCGCTCTGACGCTCTGATCTCTACTAAACATACACTGTTCTTCAACGTCTCCCCAGGCTATTATTTTACTCTTTTCTTTAAGCAGCAATATGCACATTCTGCCCTTTTCCATGTTCATTCAACTGAAATCTGCAATTGCAAATGTCAATCCACCATATCTGACTGTGATCAGTGTCCCAGAAAACAGAGCTTTTATTGCACACTAAAACTAAGACAAATACTGCTAAAAAAACAACACACACACACACACACACACACACTCACACACTTTCATAAGCTCTAAAATAAATAAAACTATAAATATATTGATATGGATAAATGTGGCTTTTATCAAAGATCTTCCTTTTTTAAGAGCTCTATCTGTTCTGTTGGTTGCTTAATTGATTCCTTTTTTAAGTGTTAAATTACTACTTTGAATAAATCTCCTATAGCAGCTGGTAATCTATTTCAAGGTTTATGTACCCTAAAAAAATTCAACACTGTGGATATATGCTTGTAGTATCCTACCAGTCTAAAGTCAGAAAAGTACAGAAGTAGAGAAATTACATGTGTCTTATTTTTTTGTTTCAAAAGAAAACCAAATCATTTTCATAATCTTAGATATGTAGTTAAAAATCGTTTGAAAGACTGTTTTCTTTCCATACTTCGTTTCACAGTGGCATTTCAAGACTCACCTCATGATGAAGTCGTGGCCATCAATCACTGGACCGTAACCTGCCTCCCGGAGGTTGCCCGAATTTCCCACCTCGGCACAGCGCAGACAGCGGGCACAAATGTCAATCCACCATATCTGACTGTGATCAGTGTCCCAGAAAACAGAGCTTTTATTGCACACTAAAACTAAGACAAATACTGCTAAAAAAAACACAACACACACACACACACACACACACACACTTTCATAAGCTCTAAAATAAATAAAACTATAAATATATTGATATGGATAAATGTGGCTTTTATCAAAGATCTTCCTTTTTTAAGAGCTCTAGCTGTTCTGTTGGTTGCTTAATTGATTCCTTTTTTAAGTGTTAAATTACTACTTTGAATAAATCTCCTATAGCAGCTGGTAATCTATTTCAAGGTTTATGTACCCTAAAAAAATTCAACACTGTGGATATATGCTTTTGAAATATCTTTTTTATTAGTTTGAGTATCCTACCAGTCTAAAGTCAGAAAAGTACAGAAGTAGAGAAATTACATGTGTGTTATTTTTTTGTTTCAAAAGAAAACCAAATAATTTTCATAATCTTAGATATGTAGTTAAAAATCGTTTGAAAGACTGTTTTCTTTCCATACTTCGTTTCACAGTGGCATTTCAAGACTCACCTCATGATGAAGTCGTGGCCATCAATCACTGGACCGTAACCTGCCTCCCGGAGGTTGCCCGAATTTCCCACCACGGCACAGCGCAGACAGCGGGCAGGGTCCCACGAACCATATGGGGAACGGCCTGGAATGACCTGGAACAGCCTCTGTAGAACTTGCTGGATGTTGTGGGGTTTGAATTGAGGCTGCAACATCTGTACAAAGCAAAGAGGGAAGAGAAGAGAGGGAGGAAGAAAGGGAAAGAAAGAAACTAACATAAGGTTGGGCAGTTATCTTTTAACTTCACACCATCTGCACACCTGCCTTTGCACACATGCATACTAAAATAAACATCTAGGCAGCCAATTAGCTGCTGAAGTCCTCTGCTGTGATGAATCGAAGAAAAAAAAAAAAGACATTCTGAAAACCAAGACCAGACCTAAAATCTTTTACTTTTGTATTTTACTGACATCCCTCCATGATATGGCTTGCTTCCAGCCAACCCAGTTCTCTATCTTTCCCTGTTTTCTCTCCCTCCTTTCTTCTCCTCATGGTCTCTGCTGCTGAGTTTACCAGGTCTCCATAATTCTTGGCAGATGTTTTCTGGGTACAGATGCCAGCCACTGATTTTACTCTGTGCCCATTCAAAAAACAGGAGCCACTGTGTTTAATACAAGACTCTTTCATCAACAGAAAGCTACCATTAGAGGTTTAGGATCAGAAATATATTTTTTAAGATTTCTATACTTTTATTCAGCAGGAGTATTCTAAAGTGATCACAAGATTTTCACATTTCTATTTAAAATAAATCCGGTTCTATTAAAATTTCTATTCATCAATGAATCCTTAAAGTTTTTTCCCATAAATATTAAGAACAACTGTAAAACATTGATAATGAAGAATCAAAAAAAAAAAAAAGACGACTTTTAATGGAGTTTTGATCAAATAAACATCCTTCATTCAAGAACATTTTAAAAAAATTACCAACCTCTCTTGAACAGTAGTGTGCATATTCATGTAAGTTATACAGTATCTGTATAGCAGTTTTGTGCAACAATCAGAATTTAAATTCCTGACTTGATTGAATTTAAATTTGATTTGAACTTGTTACAGCCCACAGGACGCTGAATTAGAATTTGAATAAAAGGAAGAGAAATTTAATTAATTGCAATTAAAAAATTTCACACAGAGGAATTTCATCAGTCCAACCTAAATTTCATAAAACAAATTGCATAATTAGTTTTGAGTAATTATGCTTATTAAACTCTGAAATAAATGTCCAATAAGTCCAACACTGCCAAAACAATTAACAATCACTCTTTTCTTTTTTTTTTGGACCAGTAATAAACCACCTAAGCAACCACCTAGACCACCCCAGCATTCTAACAGCACCTTTTACATTTTCTGAAGAAAATGTCAAATTCAGCAGTTTCCATAAGTGCAAGCATGTTCCTAACCTTCATCTCAAAATCTTACTGCTTCTTTGGCTTAATGCAGCCCGGCACCCGCCCTGCTTTTAATTCACTCTGAGCAAGTATTACGGACTTACACTTTTCAGCTGACACACTTTTTTCAGACATTACTCATGTTCTTTTTAATGAAAATGCCCTCTTGGCTTCCTGTCGTTTAAACATGATGCATAAGCACAATTGCAGATCGCTAACCTCTCTCATTTAAAGGAGAGAAGCACAACAAAATTAGGTCTCTTTTAATTAAGGACAGTGTGAGTTCACATGCAACAATTTTGTAGCCATTTTATTTTGTTTTTTCATTTAGTTAATGCATGAGGCCAAAAGCATTTCACAAAATCGAACCACAACAAAGTCCAACCACATCAACTGAAAGGGTTTCTTAAGCTAAAAGCAGAAGAGAGTAACCATAAGATCACTTACCACCCACCAGTAGTACACGTCTGAAGGCAGCTGGATGTTGTCCCGAATCCACACAGGCGAGATGTCCGGGTCATAGTTCTCGTCGAACCAGTCAGAAATGCCTGGGTCGCCCACGCACTGAGAGCAGGCACATGTCTTCTGCTGAGAGCTCTCAGCCGGGATGACAAGGTGGGAACTGGCGTAGCTGGGCACTAGCTTAACTCTGTGAGACTCTTCCCATCCCGGGGGTTCCAAATAAGGCAAGCCGGCTCCTCCTCTCAGCGAGAAGGAGAAGAAGAGTGAGGTGAGGAACAGGAGGGCAAGGGATCCCAAGACCACGCAGAAGCGAAGGGAGCATCGTTTACCCCCGCGTTCTCCTGCCACTGCTGGTCCGACTCCGGCGGCCACCCAGGGTCTCAGCTCACCCGTCCTCTGAGCCCGAGCCCATGCGGCCCAACCCCAACCCCATCCCAAGCTGAAGCGTCCCTCTCGCTGCGGAGGCACAGACGGCATGCGCCCGCCCCACTCCCATGAACCGGCTCCTGCCACCGTGCCCAAACTGGACTCAGTACTACTCGGCGTACTGAGCTACAGGTTTTAAACCCAAAAGTGTGTGAATCTCACAAAACTGTCCACCTGTGAACTGCCACTGCTGATCTCCAGTCTGTCAGTCTTCTCTTTTAATGTGTCACCACTGCTGTGGCACCTTTTTAGCGCTCTTTATTTTCGCTCTCTTCCCCCTACACTATGTGATCTCCTCCAACTCTCTCTCTCACGCTTTTGAACTGTCTATACTGCCACGGTTCAAACACACACCAGTCTTTCACCTCTAAAAATTTGAAATGTACACAGAAAAATAAAGTACTTTGTTTTAGGTTTAAAGTTGAAAAAGTTTTTAGAAAGGTTTAATTTATGTTATGGTGTTTCGCTTTACCACAACAACAAATGTGAAGAGGAGCCCTAAAGTCTGAGACACTCTGAAAGGATTTTGAAAAACTTTAAACCAAGGAAAACGTTATGAAAAAATTATATGAAACTCAAAATTATGTAAGCTTCTGCATGATTTTTAGATCACCAATCAAACAAGCAATACTGACACTGACCATGTGAACTCCTTTGTACAAAACAGCAAATTTCAATGTTTCCCTTGAAGAAGTGTTATTAAAGCAAAGGGGAGACAAACAAAATACTAAGAAATTTTGCCATTATCAATTCATGTTAATGTTTCAATCAAATATTATCCCGATAATATAATTTGCAAAAAATAAAAATAAATAAATAAACCAAACTAGAAAAGAACATACATGCATTTCCACTAGTGGTCTCAGACTTTTGAATGCCAAATAGGTATAGTGTATGACAAACAAAAAAAGAAAGAAAAGAAGCATAGCAATATAAATAAGCATGTAAACATCACTAGCTTCTGCTCTTATACTTGTCAATTCTTTTCTGTTTGTAACATTTGCAATATACTTGCAAATTACTTATAGTTTCTCCCTCCAACTCATACTTTATTTTCCAGCCCTTTTCCCCTCTACTCTATATCGGAAAGATATCAGCGAAGATGTTAAAATTAAAAGTCGTTCACTGACTTTTCACTGATAGCCTATCCGTCCCTCACACATTTTGTGAGGCACCACAGTTGTGAAGTGTTTCTATCTTTACGTCTCTCTTGTGACCCCCCCCCCATTTCTGTTGGACATTCTCTGTAGAGCATCTGCTGAGATAAATTACCAGACCTCAATATGTGGAGCACACACACCAGTTCAGGCACCTTAGAAAAACACGAACTCCACAGCCTTCACAAAATAACACCAACCAATTGGTTCATGCTTCATTTGAAGTAACATTCATTTGAATGCATGAGGTATAATCTCTGACGGCAAAGCACTAATGTTTTAAACATCAGCTTGATGCCAACAGTTCAGTCGCGGGTTTAGAAGAGGATATCGACATAGCAAACAAACAGGTAGCTCGTGCTGCTTTCACTGTGGTCGCAGATTAAATCGCGCGATTGTGATTGCATGCGTGCGCGAGCCGCTCGAGAACACATAATACTCTCCCCTTCCATTCCAATTAGAAAAATGAACTAAAGATTTCATTTTCTCCGGCAGGAGTAAATGCCTACTTCTTTGATTGAGTCGTTCTCATACTTAAAAACGCTGCTTCTTTTTAAACGCCCACAGTTTGAAGCGAGAAACCGCGAAAGAGTTTACTTCTGCAACATCACATCGATCGCGCTGCTGATTGGTTCTCTTACCAGTAGTGACGTAATGGACGTAAACTGGAGCGCGATCGAAATGAAAGGCGTGAATTTACGGAGCCCCCATAGGGGGAAAATACGGGGTGAGAGATTTATTAATTTTTTTCAAATCGTATATGCGTTCCCCAAAGTTTCCCCGAGAAACTTTGCGTTCGCTCGCAAAACTTTTGCTTTCTCTCGCGAAGACATTTGCGTTTGCTCGCAAAACTAGTTGAGTTCGGACAAATGCTTTTACACAATGGAGCGGTTAATAGAGTTTTATTTTGAACTTGTATAAAGAAATACAGTCTGTGCTTAGTTCAAGGCACCGTTTTGGGACATTCTAAAACGCTTAATGTGACTTCGTGTACTAAACCAGTGACATTGGAAGACCAAATTCAGTAGGCCTACACACTTTATTAATAAAGCATACTATTTACAGACAAGCAGAATAGCCCAAAATATGTACATAATGCGCTAAATGTCACGTTAAGCGTTTTCTCCTTCATAGAAAGAACATGCTTAATTAATGGACTAAGACGGTAGGCCTATAAAATTTAGTTAAAACATTTTTTTTTTTACTTTTTTTAAATTTAGTTTAAAAAAATATTTCAGTTTATTAATAAAATATACTACATACAGGCAGGGCCGTTATTTGCAACTGGTGCGGCCACACCGGACCCCGCGGCGAACGGACCGAGGGGGGCCCCGGTCCCTATCTTGCACAAGGCCCCGCGACAGGTAAGGACAGCAGATAAGCCTAGAATATGAACAGAAAGCACTAAATTGCACTTTAAGCGTTTTCCTTCCAGAAGCAATTATAAAGAAAATGCTTAATGAAAACAGTAATTAAAAAAACACCAAATATGCTATAGAAATGATTAAAAAATATATACTGTGTACAAGCAAGCAGATTGTAAACACGCTGAATTGCACAATAAGCGTTTTCTCCCAAATAGAAAACCATGCTTAACATGGCTTAATAAGACAGTGAAAGCCCAAATTTTAGGCCCTATGGATAGTTTATTAAAAATACTATACAGGCAAGCAACGCTCTAATCCATTAAGCCACGTTAAGAGTTTTCTTTATAATGTTTTTTTCTACGGAAACGCAAAAGATTTGAAAAATATTTTTTCCTCCCACCCTTTATTTTCCACCACCATGTCCCTTTAGGGCAGGGTTCCTCAAATCTTGCCCTGGAGGGCCAATGCGCTGCAAAGTTTAGCTCCAACCCTGATCAAACTCACCTATCTGTGATTTTCTAATGATCCTGAAAACATTGATTAGCTTGCTCAGGTGTGTTTGATTAGGGTTAGAGTTCAACGCTGCAGGAAAGTGGATCTTGTGGGCCAGATTTGAGGATCCCTGCTTTAGGAGCTCTGAATGAATGTGCCCGAGATTTTTATGTTCTCTCATCATCTTTTCGATTTCAATCTTTTAGTTTATGCACAAATACACTAGAACCAAAATGTTGTTGTTTTGATTTGGAAGACTTCCTCAATGAGTGGATGATATGGTGTGTGAATTATTCAACGACGTCCGACGTATTAAAGTAAATCTAATTTGTCACTAATTTACTGCAGTTCGTCGTGCGTGGTTTGAACAAAACTTGTTACTAAAGCTTTATGTAATATATTTTGATTGTGTAAATGTAGCCTATCACAAGAAGACGAAAACATACAGTACTTATGGTTTGTCAATATTAAAGACAGCTGTTGCTGTGGTTACCCAATTACAAATATTCTAGCAAAGTCTAACTTGTAAACTTTTTGTGGTTATTGAAAAGTTATTCAGTTAGCTAACAGAGGATTTTCATTAATTGTTCTATATTCATAATATCATAGGCTACTTCAAAATTTATGTAATTTCATTGATTGTAATGTGCTGAAATGAATTTATGATGCCTCTGTGAATATATATGCCACCTTTGTAAAGTAAAAATGGCAAGAGAGTGTGGTTGAGTGTCTCAAGACCAGCATTTAAGTGTGATGCACCTCTATGCACACCATATACACTGAACAAAATGATAAACCACATTTTAGAGTGGCCTTTTATTGTGACCAGACTAAGGCACACCTGTGCAATAATCATGCTGACTAATCAGCATCTTGATATGCCACACCTGTGAGGTGGATGGATTATCTCGGCAAAGGAGAAGTGCTCACTAACACAGATTTAGACAGATTTGTGAACAATATTTGAGAGAAATAGGCCTTTTGTGTACATAGAAAAAGTCTTAGATCTTTGAGTTCAGCTCATGAAAAATGGGGGCAAAAACAAAAGTGTTGCGTTCATAATTTTGTTCAGTGTATATAGGCTATAAAATCTCAAATGAAAGGCAAAACCCTCTTAAAGCTGAATTATGCTCCCTTCAATTCATGCTTCATTTTCTCACCAAGCATCACATCCTCCTACCCCATCCAATATCTCAAAATGACAGTCTTCTCATTTATAAAGCCATCAGCACACAGTTGCTAGACTCAAAGCAAACAAATGGCATATGAGATATGTAACCATTGTTAATCTTTTTTGGTCAACACATCTAAACATGACTGCTCTCACAGTTGTACTTAAAACAATAATACTCATATTCTTGACTCCATACATATACAAACACATGCTTGTACATTCTCTAGGACAAATTCAGATGATGCACTAACACCAAATTCTCTTTTTCTTCCTTCTTTAGCCATACACAGGTATCACGCACAAAAACATCCACTGACCTTAGCTTACTCGTTCTTTCCCTCTCTCTTGTTGTTCGGTCGCTTTTAGTGGGTCTTGACCAATGTGGCTGCTCAGCAAGGGTGAGCCAAGCACGGTAGAGTGGGTGTCTGAGTTGCCTTGGCAACGAAACCTCACAGCTGGCTGCAATGGAAATGTAATTGAAAGAGAAGAGCAGACATTCACATACTGGGTGGGCTTACATTTTCTCTGACTCGCTGCTGGACAGGTTGCTCTCACATATTCAACAGTCGAATGCTCCAATTTTATGCTGTCTGTGATCAGATTGGAAGCAGGGATGGAAAACAATGTCTGTCCAGTGACTCTAGGGTTAACGCACTGACAAAACATGCACTCTCTCCTGCTTGAGGATTAATCTAATCATAAAATAGTCAATTTCAACGGCTTAATCTAATTTCACGTTTAATGGATTAAACCCTTTGATAGCTGGATACATTGTTGCTTGTTAGGCCTCTCTTGGGAAAAAAGTATGATTATCGCGTAATTTTTTTTTCATTTAAAGGGGTCATATTATGCTGCTAAAAAGAACATTATTTTGTGTATTTGGTGTAATGAAATGTGTTTATGCGGTTTAAGGTAAAAAAAAAAACATTATTTTCCACATACTGTACATTATTGTTTCTCCTCTATGCCCCACCTTTCTGAAACGCGTCGATTTTTACAAAGCTCATCGGTCTGAAAAAGCGAGGTGTGCTCTGATTGGCCAGCTATCCAGTGCGTTGTGATTGGCCGAATACCTCAAGCGTGTGACGGAAATATTACGTCCCTTACCATATTGCCATGCCTGCGGCAACCACATGTGATGACCCCGGGCTGGACTCCGCTTCGTCCACGGTGAAAGCCGACAGCGCGAAGAAGTATTTCCTCAGCGACCAGCACGGATCAGCTCCAGGCATGACGAAGCGATATCGT